ATTCTTTCTAACCCCAAGCTAGCACTTGATTCAGAATCATAGTAATACACTCTAGCTTCAGTCTCAAGGTGAGATGCCCAGGTATTCTGTTTTTGGCTGAGGATGTGAGAACTTACAGAAATAACCCCATCTCCCTTTTTCTCTTTGTCCCAGTGACCAAACAGATCCCTTTAACCGTAGTCCCCTCACCATGGACCAGATCCGGCCAAACACAGAACTAAAAGAAAAAATCCAACGGTGGCTTGCAGAGAGGAAACAACAACAGAAGGAGCAACTTGAATAAATACTGTGACCTAAGCAAACCAAAAACCAACCCCAGAGTGTAGATAAACAATTGTGGTTTCTCTCTTTCTGGTTCTGTTCCTTTCCTTATTCTTGCCTTTTATTTTTTATTTTTTTTTTCCCTTTACTGAATTAGAGAACTGCTCTTGCTCAAATTATGATAATTAAAATTCCTAAGAACTTTACAATGCACCTAGCTTGCAGGAAATTATACTTCTTCTAGCATCACCACATTTAGAAATCATCACTAATTTTTACCTTTTGTTATCTCTTCCTGTTCCTTCTCCCTTTTCCTACCTTAAATTATATTAACTTCAGCTATTAAAACCTCCCGCCTCCTTACTGTTTCTTCTCCAAGAACTGCTAAACATCTTTGGTGAGCACTGCTTTTAAGTATATGATATCACACGTTTCAGTGACAGCTGATATCAGAAAGTCCTATGTTATCAAGGTACTTACTAGTTCGTCTTCATGACCCAGACTTCAGCCCTTTTCCTTGTTATAGCTCTACACTGTTACAGAATAACTTTTTATATAAAAGCAGATACCCTGATGTTTGAGTAGATTTTTTTAATAAGATGACAGATGAGATGAAAATAGGAATCTTACGCAACTTCGCTGGGTAGCACTCAGTTTTGTGTTCTCTTGTAACTCGGAGATACCTTGGAGGGCAAACACTCCTCCATGGAGTTGTCATTACACAGAAAACTTAGCCCTATAATATTTTTAGGAGGATTGATAGAACAAATTTGCAGTTTTGACAGTTTATTCAGAAAACTACAATGTGAAAAAAGAAGGCTGTTGGGGCCCTTTTTATCTACTGGAAATCAAGGACTAGGCTTGTGTAGAAAAGTTAGGCAACAAATATTGTAACCATGAGACATGTCATTTCAAGACACTAATATCAGCAGTGATCTCAGTATATATATATATATACATACACACACACACACCATGTACTTTTTTATATTGGCCTTGTATAATACAGAGAACCACTTTATATTGTCTCTTCCGTGGTAAGATGTATGCAGTGTGTAGCCATGTTTACTAGCACTTACTCTAGACAGAATTCTAAGACTGTAAAATGTATATAGTTAATGTTCATTTGGGCTTATGACCTGATAAGAGCTGCTGCTTCTAATTCAGCCTTAGGTCATCAATTAACAGAATAGGAATTTGAGCACAACCATGTCCGCAAGCCATTTTAAATATCCACTTAGCTCTATATAGTTATTTAGCAGGTGGATGGGCCCTTCACTTTACAAGTTGAGCTTGAGCTCCCTACTAAATCGTGCAGCTTAACATGCTGAGTAAGTCGCATTCCCCCATGGACTGTCTATACCAGTATCCCTCTGAACCTGAAAATACAATAACAAGAGTGATATGATCTAGAAGCAGAGGTCATTGCTTCACTTCAAGGACATTATTGTTAACCACAGCCTCTTTCAAATAAGACTGTAGTTTTATGGTAATCCAATACAAATTGTTATAAGCAGTCCTTGTTGTGTTTTTGATGGTTCCAGCAGGAAACTCTGAAGTTAGAGGGCATCCCACACTAGATTAAAAAGTAGATGTTGCCCCTCGCTGTGCTTATAAGTGAAAAAGGCAGTCCAGGACTCTTGCAAATACCAGAATGTATGATAGTAATTCAGTGTGTTCCCTGGGCCTTTAAGGCACAGGTTGACAGGATTTGTTTATTTTCTGAAAATGAGCTTCATTTCCTATTTATTATCTTCTACTTCTCTGAGAATGAACTGTATAAAATAAGCTTCAGTCTACTTGCATTTATCTTCCAAACCCAATCAAATAGGATATTTTCACTTTTAAAAGAAGTGAGGAAAAGACCAGAGTTTTATAGGAGAAAGGAAGGAAAAAAACGGGCACAAAACCTCAGAAGGCAGCTGTTCCCAGCAGCTTTCTAGTTAACAACCTCTATGCTGCCTCTTGTATCTGTGTCTGTATTCCACTTCTGTATTAAGCCTTCAGATTGTAAGCCTTTTCTGGCAATTTTTTTTTAAAGCTCTTTTCCTGAAACTTTTTATGAGTGGCTGTGGCACCATGAATGCTGCTGAGTATCTTTAAATTCATCACAAAAGCAAGTGCATAGCTTAAGGCCACTGTTGGTAAGGAAACCAGTGTCCTCTGTGCCTTTTTCCTTTCCTTGACATAATTCAAGAACATCCCAAAAATGAGACTAAAAAATTATCGTCTTGGTACAACATGGTGCACATGGACACTTGGAAGCTTAAAGAGGGGTAGTGGTGTCTAGAACTCAGAAGCAAGCTCTAAATCTATTAGAGCAGACTTTCTGACATACCTAGCTTTGCTAGAGTATGGTAGGAAAATGAAGATCCTTTAATCAGCTCTAGTATTGCTTACTAAGAGGGTAATACTAAACTTGGAAAATTATTTAAGCAGGCTTTATCAAGCAATCTGGATTTGTTTGTTTTTAATATAGTTTTTAATGGATATGTGAAAACCGAAAGAAACTTCAAAGGTTTTTTTTTTTTTTTTAATGGTGCAGGTGAAGGTGCCAGTTGCTATTTGGTGTCACACTCTACAAAAGCTTCATTACTTTATTTGATGCTGGTTGCTAAGCAGCCATTGCACAGAGCATAAGTCTACTGGGTGCCTTTACAAGCCAGAGGCTGATGCTGCACTGTTGATGTCATGTGAGGAAATAATGCACATGCTCTAACTGGTAAACAGGAAAAGAAACCTGGAAACAAAATGACAAAAAGATTGACTGAAATAAAACTTGATCAACATAACTATTTTGAAACATTCCAGGAAGGTTACTTGTCAAACTTGCCTGGGGGTGTTTGTTCAAAGCCTATATTTAATAAATGAACATCTGACTTACAACCTTTGTTATCATGTCCTTTATTACAGTATTAAAAACTTAGGAGCAGTTTCAGAAATCCCTCTGAAAACTTACAGGGCTCTGAACATCACTTTTTTTAAAAAGGTGGTAGCAAATGTATGGCCTGGCTGACCTAACCTGCCTTACCAGGCTTCTGGACCCCGGAGTTATCTTCAGATGAGTTTCCGGGCATGTTTTTTCCTAAGCAGATCACTTTTGGCTTCACTTTTTTTCATCTGGCCTAAAGCCCAGGTCTTTTTTTTGCCTTGCCTTGCAGCATGTGGGATCTCAGTTCCCTAACCAGGGATCGAACCCTTGCCCCTTGCATTGGAAGCTCAGAGTCTTTAACTAGTGGACTACCAGGGAAGTCCCCCAGGTCCTTCATTCTAATCATTCACTATCAAGTTCCACTTTCTTGCCCCTTGTTTCTGTACCCCTGCTATGCAAAACCTCAGCCCAGATTAACCCAAGCATTCCCCTCTGCTCCAGTATCCCAGCCAGACTATTGCTGAAGAAAAATAACACCATCTTTAGAGTGGTACAACTGCAGACTTGTCCCTAATGTTCCCTAACAACCCTTCTGTGTGTCCTTAACTTCAACAGCTAGTCCAAATTTCAACCTCTTACATTTTCTCCCACCCTCCCACTTGCCCTTCACACTCACATGACCTTGCCTTGTACTTCATAGCCTGCAGAATTTCCACTTTCAAACTTAATCATCCCATCTGTGGAAAAGGCCCCAAGACTCCAAGGCTAATCACTCCAACTTTATTTCCAGTCTCATTCAGAATCTGGTCAATCCCACTTCTCCATCTTCAATCTCCGTTGATTTTCCTATATTTGGTTTTCTGACCAGCATCCCTTTATAGCCATATTTCTTCACTCATTCACTCTGGCTTCTATCCAAATTGTTTGAACCTGCTCTGGTTAATGTTTCTATATAGCTATATTAATTTTCTAATTCTTAATTTTACTTCTCTGGAGTACCAGGCAACTGAATCACTCCTTTGCTGAAGCGCTGTCCTGACTCCTTGCTATCACTCTTGATTTTTCATTTCACCTCTAACTATTCCATCAATCAGAGTTTTACTTCTATTTATGCTTCCCCGGGTACATTATTCTATTTTCTTCATCGAAGGCCACATCCCCACGTATATCTTTTCTTCCAGTCATATTAACCACAAAGTTCAACTCTGCAGTACATTGCTGTTTCATTGTCTATCAACCCAAGGATCCCCTTCTCTAAGAAGCCTTCCGACATCAGCACCACACATAATCCTATACTAATGCCTCTTCTGTTTCCATTGCCACCTTTTCAAATCCCAACTCTGCCACTCACTAGCTCTGTAGCCATTTATTTACCAATGCCGGCCTTAAGTGAGGCCACTACCGAACACACAGGACTTTCTTTAAATTCCAAAAAGGCTGAAAGACTGGAGGCCCTCGGTAACTGTGATTTTGTCCCTTGGTATCTGCATAGTTCCTTGAGACTGGTTAGGGAATTAGGGGAACTGGATTCCAATCCTGATAGAGGAGTCAAGGGAGACGGATTACAGAAGGTCAGCTAAAGAAAGGCAATGGGCTGAGTCAGGTGACAGGTTGTAGCGCCTGCTCCGCCCCTAATTTTACGTGTCTGGTCTAGGACCCTCTCTGCCTTTGTAAGACGAGTACGTTGGCCTAGAAAAACTGCAGCATTGCCTTCCAGCCCTAACTCGTCTCGTTCTCTCAGAAGAACTGCAAACCCACCCCAAAAACCCGAGGTCTGCGCCTCGGGCTGCCCGGGAGGCGCATGGCGCATGCGCATTCCCTCCTCGCGCCGGCCTTCCGGACCTCTGCGAGGGGCTGCCCAAAGAAATGCCTGCTTCTCCGCGGAGCTCCTTTGTATTTTACGTGCTCTCTGATCTCATCTTCTCCTACCCACTTTCTCTTCTGTGGCTAAAGAAAAGAAACTGGCCCAGTGGATGCCGGAAAGACAGTGGGACACCTAAATATCTCGGACCGGCGCGGAAAGGGGAGGCCTGACCTTGGAAGCGGACCGGGGTCCTGCGGCAGGTCCTTCCGGGCGGGTGACATTCAGCCGGCCAGTCGGGGCGACGGGCTCTCCGTCCTAGTACCATGGCCCAGTTTGTCCGTAACCTCGCGGAGAAGGCCCCGGCGCTGGTCAACGGTGAGCGGGGCGTCAGCCAGCCGGCTCGGGTAGCTGGGCGGGTAGGAAGGCCTGCGAGGGCCCGAGGGGAGGATTCGAACGGCCGGAGGGAGCTGGCCGGGCCTGAAGTTGGGGTGGGGGGTGGTGGTTGGGGGGGTGGGGGAGAAGATAGATTTGCGGTTCTTTTCTACCCTTCCGCTGGCCTGCGGCTTGGGTTCTCTCTGCTATCCAGAGGTTCTGAACTCTGACCGCGACCGTGAGGGGAGGGAATGTGCAAACAGCCGGGGTTGCCCAGCTGCAGCCGCCATGACGCCCTTCGACCTCCAGGAGGAGGAATACAGAAGGGATGGCTTTTTTGCGAGAGCGAGGGAGACGGTTGGTCGAAATACGTGAAAGCATCGAAATACGGTCCCATCCGCTTATCTGCTTCTTAGTGCGGTATTTGGAAGGCTGCAGAATTTCTAAGGATGTATGACCTTCGATATATTGCCTTTGCTTTTTGTTTTGACCAGATACTGAGATGCTTTTCCTTTAAGGAAATTTTTAGGTGGAACTGAGCATTATGGTCGAGTATTCCTGCTCCGGTAAACACTGAAAGGGATATGTGTAAACAGTAATGTTTATTATCATTGCTTAGCGTTCGTGGGGATACTGTTTGAAAAAGTTGGATGTGTCCTTCAATGGTGGAACGTTGTATTGGAGAACAGCCCTGAATAGTCACAGCCCAGAGTAGTAGTCTTCTCAGTAAATATTTCATTTGTCTGCAAGCTATTCATTTTATCCCCAAAATGAGATCAGTTAAGTAGACGGAAGCTTCTTCGCTAGATGTGCTGTATTCTAGTAAGTGGTTGAAGCACAGATCTCTGAATGGCTTTCGCTCAGGTTTGATTGTGAAAGTGAATAGAATGAATTTTTTAATATGTGTAATATTTTTGAACCTATTTTACTGCAGTCGGTATTTTCTTATTCGTTGTCTCCTCTCTTTTCTTCATCAGCAGTGGAACAATGAAGGCCTGACAGTGCCAGATAACTATGAATACTTGATCCTCTCCTACAGAACCCCATGGCCCACTACTTTTACTATCAGTTTACACACTTTACCAAAGAATTTACGTTTGCAACTTGACTAAGATAAAGCTTTACTTTTTTACATAATACAAGGAAAAGTAGTAGTGGCTTCATTATTTGGACTTTATGGATGCTTTAAGGCTAATATTTATAATCACAAATTTCAGGTGGATTTTTTTATCCTCCTTCCATAGCTTTCACATCTTTTTGGTGGAGCGTCTTGGGGAATTGCAAACTAATTTTAATAATAATTTACAAAAAGAAAAGTAACGTGAAAGTAATTTTAATTGTGAGCTATATCAACCATTTCCTGTGTTATTATGAATAATTTAAAGTAAACGTTGTTATCCTTTCAGAAGTACTCAGGAGAACTCAGCTGGGCCAGAATGTTAAAGTGGAGCTGCATTTTGCTTTGTCACTTAACTCCGTGGTATTAAATATTAATGCTAAATGTCTTTTTAAAAATTACTGGTTTTATCTGTTAATTCTCCTGGAGGACAAAGAAGCTTACAGAAATAAGTAATTTTTTTCATCAGACTTCCCCAAGAAGATCATAGAGTCTGGGGATTTTTGTTTTTATTTTTTTCCTACTTACTAAACTCGAGACTTTATTTGGATTTCACCAGCTTTTCCAGTAAATCTCTTTCTGTTCCAGGAGCCAGTCCAGGGTACTCCAGTGCCATGAGTTGTCAGTCTCCCTAGTCTCCTGTGTATGTGACGATTTCCCGATCTTTCCTTACCTTTCATGACCTTGACAGTTTCAAGGTATTTATGTAGGTCTCTGGGTATGCTATAAGGATGTTCCGCGATTTGGATTTATCTGGTGTTTTTGTCATGATGAGTTTGGAGCTATGAGTTTTTTTTCTTTTTTCTCATTTTCTTTTTTTGGCTGTACCTGGCGGCTTGGGGGGAAATCTTTGTTCCGAGACCAGAGAGACCTGCGCCCCCTGCAGAGGAAACGTGGCATCTTAATCACTGAGCCCCCAGGGAGGATCCGTGGAGCTATGGGTTTTGAGAAAGAATACCACAGATGTGAAGTCCCCTAATCACATGTCAGGATGTCTAAACAAGTGATACCCAAATGTCCTCACTAGTGCAGTTAGCTTTCATCACTTGGTTAAGGTAGTTTCACTAGGTTTCTCCTAGAGGTACTATTTTTTCCTTTCCATACTCTGTTCTTTAGAAGCAAGTAACTAAATTGGGGGAGGCAGAGTCAGGATTCTGTCTCCTATAGGAGGGAATATCTACACATAATTTAAAGTAGAATTTCTTCTGTGAGAAAGATATGTCCCCCATTTATTAATATTTGTTCAGTCCATACTGTATGGCTTCACCTACATTTATTTCATACCTTGTACCTCCAGTAATACATTATTTATTTTGTTGCTCAGATTGTTCCAGCCTTGGCCATTGAGAATCCTGTCAGTTTGGCACCTCTGCCCCTTTGCCATCCCCCTGTACTTTCTAGTATTGTGAGATAATTGCGACTCTCCTGCCATCCCAAATGTCCTGCAGGATCTTAATTCCCCTGCAGGGATTGAACCTGGGCCCCATCAGTGAAAGCCCCTCTGAGTCCTGACATCTGGACTGCCAGGAAATTTCCCAGATTCATATATCCCCTGCCCCAGCCTTAGAATTTGCCCTTTCTCCGAGGAACCTTAGTTCCTTTTATTGGACAATTGCATTTTGAAGCTAAGATCTAGATACTGGGTATGTTCCTTGCTACTCGACTGTGTTAGTCACCCTTTACTCACAGAATATAAGTTCTAAGACCTCCGATAGATGTCTGAAACTACAGATAGTACTGAGTCCTAAATGTTAATTTTTTCTTTTAATAGCTATGATAAATTTTAACCTATGAATTAGGCACAGTAAGAGATTAACAACAATAATAAACTAGAACAATTATAATACTGTGATAAAGGGCTTCAGGGCTTCAAGCCACAGAAATTCCTACATGGCTCAGGAGGTAAAGAATCCACCTGCAATGTGGGAGACCTGGATTCGACCCCTGGTTCGGGATTATGCCCTGGAGAGGTAAATGGCAGCCCATTCCAGTATTCTTGCTGGGAAATCCCATGGACAGAGGAGCCTGGCAGGCTACAGTGCATGGAGTCGCAAAAGAGCCAAGCATGACTGAGCAGCTAACACTGCAATAAAAGTCATATGGACATGGGCGCTGTCTCTCAAAATGATCTTTTTGTACTGTCCTCCCACTTCTTGTGAGTGAGATGTTACAGTGTGTACGTGATGGGATGAACTGGGGAGCAGGACGTAGGCATTGTGATGTCGAATTAGAATGGAGCAGGGACGGCAGGAGATTTCATTGTACTACTCAGGCATACAATTTAAAACTTAGGGATTATTTCTGAGATTTTCCATGTAATATTTACAGACAATAAAACTAGAAAGTAAAATCACAGATAAGGGGGGACGGCTGTACTAGAATGTCATTGCCTGTAGGCCCTGATAGTGGATAAGGAGGTATCCATATATAGGCATTCCTCTACTTAAAAGAAAATTACATGCCAGTAAAATTATCACAAGTTGAGAATATTTTAAGTTGAAAATGCATGTGTTATACCTATTCTGCCAAACATCGTAACTTAGCCTAGCCTACCTTAATCTCACTTAGAATACTTACATTAGCCTACAAGTAAGCAAAATCCCCTACCATAAGGCCTGTTTTTATTAAAAAAAAAAAAAAAACTGATTATCTCATGTAATTTATTGAGTACTGTATTGAAAGTGAAAAAACAGAATGATTCTGTGTTGATTGTTTACCCTCATAACACATGACTCACTGTCAACTGCAGCTTGCTACCAGTACCCAGCATTAAAATAGCATTACAAGAACATATGGTACCCACTGTGGCTAGCCTGGGAAAAGATCAAAATTCAAAGGTTCATTTTTACTGATTGTGTATCTCTTTCACATTGTAAATTGAACCATCATAAATTGGGGACTATCTGTATACTCACCCATGGATGTGTAGACACGCACAGTTGATCATTGAACAATGTGGGGGTTAGGGACACTGACCCCCATGCAATTGAAAATCCTAATATAACTTTACAGTTGGCCCTCCATATCCACAGTTACACATCCATTCATTCAGCTAACTTCAGATTATGAAGTACTGTAGTACATATTTATTGAAAAACATCCGCATATGAGTGGACCCACACAGTTCAAACACATGTTGTTGAAGGGTCAACTGTAATTGTTTCTATATTGATCCACCTGTATATCAATTAAACATGACTTTATACTGAATGTCTCCAACTCTAATCCGGTACCACTGGATATGTTTTTCCCCCGTCTAAAACCCTTCTATTTTAGTAAGAAACCTAGCTGCCATCATCCACCATTCATTCACTTATTTTCTGTTCATGCCTTGTATACATGTAAAAGCAATCTCAAACTTTTAACCTGTGCTCCCTGAGAAGCAAATTTACCAACTTAAGTACAGCGTTTGTATACATTGTACTGATTTGTTTGTATTTTTTAAGAGTATTATATCTGTGTGTTGAAGATAATTTTAAAGACAGTTTGTTGACTGTTAAGACTCTTTTCTCCTTGATAACACCATCTTACAGGCATTGGCAGTTCTGTTTAGAATTCTCTCTTAGAGCTTTGTATCTGCTTAAAGATTTACCCATGGCCCTAAGCCAGAGGATGATGGAGATAGTAATTTTTTAGAGTAGTGAAATACCTAAATACAGGCAGTTAATAATAGGGAAGTACCAGGAACTTTGCATTATCAGTCTTTGGACAGCAGACACTTGATGGATGCTTATGTATTTGTGCAATTTTTATTATGCTATCTTGTAATTTTTTTATGTAAAATACCTTTCTCCTGCTGAATCACTACCATAGTCTCCCATATAACCTTGTTAAAAATCTTTTTTTCCTGCAATAGTAAATACTGTTTACTATTACTGAGGAATTTCAGCTTAATAACAGATTCAAGTTTTGGCTGCTCCTAACAATACATGTAGGTTTTATTTTTATTATTTGTGGTATTTTGAAGGAAGAGCAGCTGTGCTTTTGTTAATCTAGCACATATTGATGAGGGTACCCAAAATGGGTACTAATTGGTATAATTCCATCTGGATTTGTGGCCAATATTGTGACAAGTTTTAATCTCATTCCTAAGGATGCCATTCTACTTAAGTTTTCTTCCCTCCCCTTCACCACTTCCCTCCAAATTTTTTGTCTCTGCAGGAAAATATGGTTACATTGCTGCTCTTTTCTTGTTTTTTAATCCAACTTCCAGTAACTTTGTAGTTAACTAGATTTGCCATTAATAAATGAAGTACCAGTACTCTGGTATTGGCCACTGGTGAAGTCCTGGCATAATTGGATGTGCTTATAGCTTCCTGCCTGACTGAACTGGCTTGTGACACAGGTGTTCTGTATCTTTAAACGCCTCTGGTTACCAGGGAGCAGCTTTGACTCTTCACACCGGGTGCACATTTGGTATAAGCAGTGAATGAATGTGATGCATGAATAAATATTTGTGTCCAGCCCACACATCTGCTTCTTTCGGTCTCTAGTGAGTTCATCCTGGTTTTTTGTTTTGTTTTGTTTTCCAGCTGCTGTGACTTACTCGAAGCCTCGATTGGCCACGTTTTGGTACTATGCCAAGGTTGAGCTGGTTCCTCCAACCCCTGCTGAGATCCCTACAGCAATTCAGAGCTTGAAAAAAATTATCAACAGTGCTAAAACCGGTAGCTTCAAACAGCTCACTGTTAAGGTAACTATGGGCTAAATGAAAACGTATGTGCATACAGAAAATGTCTTCCCTTGGGATTTCTCTGATTGTTTTGATTAATATATGTATTTTTCAGTGAGGCTAGAACCAGCATAATGAGAGATGATCTCTTTTTTGACTGTGGAGAAAGATATTTGCCTTTCTAACTTTGTCATCTGGGTTGAAATAATTGGACTGTTTTATGTCTTATATTCCTAATAATCTTATAATGAAGAAGTGGTTTTTTTTTTACTGGGTAGCTTTTTTTTTGTTTCCTATTTGGGGTTAGTACATTAAAATAGGATCACTTGCTTTGTTGATTCTGTACTTTTTTGTCTATAGTCCTGAAACTCCCCAATTTGGCCAAAAGATTTCTTGGACTATATCACAGTCAGGTAACTTAACATTCATGAGACAAAAATACCAAAACCTGGAAGCATATAATATGATATGAAGGGTGGAGATAAAATCTAAAGACTATAAAATTAGAATTTGCAGACTTCCCTGGCGGACTGGTGGTTAAAACTCATACTCCCAGTGTCGGGTGCACAGGTTTGATTCCTGTTCAGGGAACTAAGATCCCACATGCCTCTCAGCACACTGCCCCCCACCCCCCGGCCCCCGCCACAGAGAGAGAATTGGAGCTTGGATTTTACGTTTGCTTGATCTAAGCACGGGATACAAAAAGCCTAAATAAATTATTGCTGGCTTTAGAACATGCATTCTAGAAAATATATTTTTCAAGAGATTTCCAGTATTTCTGGTTTCATTTGAAGGGGGAAATTCACTTCCAGGTGCTAAAACAAAAAGGCCCAATTTTGTTGTGGAAAGGTTTTGTTTTTCAACTTGAGTTTCAAGATCCATATTTGTGCTTGTATGAAACCCTGTTTTCTGGAACTGTGTACATACTTTTTTTCTTAGGGCAATAAAACACTCATCTGTGAAACTGAGTAATTGCTGAATAGTTGGGAAGAATTAAACCAAATAATAAATGAATAAAGATGATGTCTAAAGGGAAAGATAGAATATGTCATCTTGCAACAGAGTTTCTTTGGCCAGATAGAAATGTCTATTCAGAGACTTGCCTTCCTATAGCCATCCTTTCATATGAATGCCCTTGCTAAATGTGGCAGCTATTTCCAGGATGTGGGTTGTTTTAGGGCTCATAAAGTGTCTCATAAACTAATAATGAAAGGGTTAAGTCAGTTCAGGCCTTCAAAGAATGCTTTGAAAGAATTTATAAGCTCTGGACTACTTACCTTACATAATTGAAAGTTCAAGGGTTCTCAGCAGTTAAAGTTAACATCAGTAATTCTTGACTTTGACTAAAACTGCCTTCTAATTTGAATAGCATCCTTATATTCTCTGTCATTTAATCCTGGAAAAGAATAGTTTTAAATATATATATAAGAAAAAAATGTACATTAAAATTTGTGCTTCTTTTTTCAGGAAGCTCTACTGAATGGTTTGGTGGCCACTGAGGTGTGGATGTGGTTTTATGTTGGCGAGATCATAGGCAAGCGTGGCATCATTGGCTATGATGTTTGAAGACCAATTTTTAACATGTGATTATATTTGCTTTATTATTCAAGTGTTCTTGGACCATGTGTGAACAGACTGCTATTTGAATAAAATAAGACAATGTGTCAGAATCAGTGTTTTCTCTATCAAACACTACATGGAAGGTCACAATTTCTCTTGATATTAAGTTGGATTGTCTTTTGCTTCAGTATATTAATACAGCTCTAAGTGCATGCCTTTGCTTAGCCTGCAATTTGGAAAATGTATTTATGAGTATACCAACCTGGTACCTGTATAAATGAGGTTAACTTTATTTTGAAGGCTTGAAACAAGATGTTTAAGCTTTATTTCTAGAAGAGCTGGGGGAAAGGCTTTTAGAAAATGAGAACTTGCTCCAGTAGGAGAAATAATAATACCATGTGCTAAGTATGATACAGTTAAATTTTGGACTGTTTTTCTTCGCAAAAATCGGAGAAAGATCCCTTTGACAACACCTTTTTGTCAGTTTGAATATAGCCTCCCAAAAGAACAGCATGATGATAATCTGTGTATCTTTGTAATATCTTTAACATTAGGACAGAGTGAATGAGAGCGATAATGTATTTTTCATCTGATTTTGATGTTTGTTATATTATTAATCTGTCCAGTTTTTAAGGACCTATCTTTGCAAAAATAAAGCATCATTTAACAGGGTTATGATTTAGTATTGTCCTTGGGTCTAAATAGTATATTATGTCCTGAAATAAATACAAGTGATTAGTATCAGTCTGTCATCTTGAGCCATTTTATTGAGGATTGGGAGTGATTTAATCATTGATTGGCATTTCCTGGGGTTCTTACCATCTATGAATAGCTTGCTGGTACGTTTCTAAATCAGTGGTGCCTCTCTTGCAGCCACTGCATAGCATGGAATAGCAGCTGATGATAACCGAAAGATGATTACATGTTGGAAAAGCATGGCTCACAATATAGTATTAATCCTTTCATAGTATTGAACCTTTATCCAGTCAGTCCCAAATTTATCAGCTGGTTCAGAACGCTGCTGCTTCAGCCAGTAAAGGGCACAGCTTTTCTTTGTGATAGGCAAGAACTCTCCATGGAGATACTGCTACTCTGAACTGAGGTAATGCCTAGCTTACTGCAGGTGGTCAAAACTGAAACTACCTCTTTTCAGAAGCATTCAGTAACTTAAAATATGCATAGCAGAAGACTGAGAAAACCCTACTACAATAATGGTGATTTCCATGAGTTTCTCTATTGCATGTGTGAGTGAGTAGTGCAATTAATTTTTTTAAATTTAAAGGTATTACATGGTCCGCTGGCACTAGTAAGAACTTACAGAGTGTAGTTGATTCATGATATGTAATGTGATTTTGTTTTCACCACATGGTCACACCAGAAAGTCCTCAAAATAAATATTTACTACTCACTTCACTGCTACTTCCTCCTCCTTTGCCATCTGGCACACCTCTGGTGTATGGTGGCTAACTATGTACAGCATTCTCTTGTGTTAAAATAGCAGTGGACTCCATGAAGCAGCCATTTCTGCCGGCCTGTTAATTTTGAGCTCCTAAACCCCAAATGTCTTGCCTCCTAGCACAGAACTGTTTAGACTATCCTTCACTGAAGTTTTTGTCAGGTTTTTGCTATTGCCAACTTCAGTGTACCTCAGGTATTTATGGTGCACCTCCTAAATCCAGGTATGCTAAATGGTAGGAACATTTCATGAACAAGACTGTTAACTGTTCACAGAGCTTGGTCTGGTTACTCTTAAGCATACAGTTTTGGTAACATGTGGTATTCTGTAATGAAGAAAGTACAAGGTGTGAATGGAAGAGTTCAACCCAGAATCCCAAAGAAATGGATTCTAGGGAGGCTGTCAGAGGACCTAATATCTGAAGTAAGCCAGAAGAGTAAGAACCACAAAAAATGAAACAAGTATGCTGAACAGGTAAAACAGCCTTGCAAAAACTAGTAAGTGAGAGAAGATCTGGTGCATTTGAGGTGGTTCTGAGAGCACAGTACAGCTGACCAATTACAGAGGAGAGTAGTGAAGGGAGACCAGAGATAGTGGGGACCAGATCATAAAGTGTCTTTATTAAGGATTGGACTATGTTAAGGACAGGAAATGAGAACCCATTGAAGGAAGTATATATGCTTCCCAAATTTCTAAGGATAGCTCAATATAGCTTGCTTTTTTATTTTTTCTTAAGTTTTAAATTATTTTTTTCCCGTTTATTAGTTGGAGGCTAATCACTTTACAATATTGTAGTGGTTTTTGCCATACATTGACATGAATCAGCCATGGATTTACATGTATTCCCCATCCCGATCTCCCCTCCCGCCCCACCCCATCCCTCTGGGTCTTCCTGGTGCACCAGCCCCGAGCACTTGTCTCATGCATCCAACTTGGGCTGGTGATCTGTTTCACCCTTGATAATATAATATAGCTTGCTTTTTTAATATTTCATATTTTGTATAGCACTATCATTTAGCCCTCAGCTTTCCTCTGAGGCATGTGGCATAAATGGTAGACCCACTTAAGAAGTCAGGAACTAAGCATCAGAAACACTTGGTGATTTGGCTAGGATCCCATACTCAGTGGGACCACAGTTGGGCTCCAGGGGTGATTCCACATAGTCTGCCCCTCCTTTACTCCTTACATACTGCCCTCTGTTCAATCACAGTTCCATTCTGTGTTGTATATTCTCAGTGCTGTCTGTAAATTCTCAGTCTTTTGCCCTGCTGTCAAGCTGTTAAGCTTTCTTGTCCTATTAGATGTCAGGCTACCTAATCTTAATGTAAAGTGATCTCTAGTTTTGTGAGACTTAATATTTCCTAATTAGTGTGGTTTTTCGTTTCTACTGAAATACAAATTGGTAGATCACTTTTCAGATGAATACAATAGCAATTCCACCAGAGATTCCCTTATCAGACCTGTTTACCCAATGAAAGGCCCTGATACTATTAAAATACTGATAAAATACATGCCAGGCCTTTATCCTTGACAATATGCCTTAGCCTTACTTGAATCTCATTCTGCTACCAGTCAGGGTTTCAGCCACAGTTTTTAACCAGTCCCCATAAGGCTCGAAGCTTTAATTTTCAGATTATGTACCCACTGCCCCTGACTTGCAGTTTTCTACCACTCACCAGGCTGCTCTATATTTCTTGGTAAATTTTTTCTCCTGACTATGTCACTCTACAAAACTGTTTCTGTCTTAATTCTGGGTAATTTCAACATACACATGGATTGGTAGTTTTCAGAGAAAGGAAACTTAGAAATTTAAAATTCTCAGGCCCTACCTGGAACCTAGGTGTGGGATCTGGCAATCTGTTTCAACTGGCGCTCTAATTTCTGATGCATGCTAAAGTTTGAGAACTGTTGACATAACTGATGCTTCCAACAAACTATCCTCAGTTCCCTTAGAAAGTCCAACAGTTATGTCTTCACCTTCCTTGGGCACTCATTCCTGTCATTACCAAGAAATTCAACCACTCCATAGTTTCAGTTTCACACATCCCTTTCTCTGATCACCTGTTAATTATTTTCCAGCCCATTCCCTCTAATAGCCCAACTATTAATTTGCAGTCACCATGACCATCAATAAATTGACACCTCCCTCACACCTGATGTCCTCTTTGCCTTCCTTACCCAGTTTGTTTATATTCCATAGTCTATCAGGATCACTGTCTTAAACCCTGAACTGCCTTGCCTCTCATTTTGTTGTATTCATTTGCCAAAACCACATCCTTGGCCAAATCCGCTTAGTCTTAGTCTGTACTTGCACCCATGTAGCTGAGTGCAGCTGGAGGAAACAGCCAAGGTGGCTAGTCTCACTATATTCATGATCAAAACCTTAAGAAGGCGCTTAGTGCTACCTGACAACCACACTGTGTTTCTCTGGGCTATGATTTGTGTCAGCTGATGACCTGGCTTGCTACTTAACTGAAACTGAAACAATTGGAGAACTTTCATTGACTCCCACAGCATCATCTCACATACTGCTATCTGCACTCATAAATATTCTCCACCCTGCCTAGATTATGCTCCTTTTTAAAGCCAGTCCCTCTATTCAAGGTCTGTGCTGCTCTTATTTCTGCCCTTTTCTTACGTCATTAGTTTCTCCCACTATTCTGTTGTTCCTAAGAGTATATACGTATTATCTACCCCCCCCTTTTTTTTTTTACAAAATTAGCCCCCTTTTGCAGCAAAACACCTTTAAAGTTATCAGTATTCGATGTCTCCAAATCCTTTTCTCCCTTCAACCCATTCCAATCCAGCACTCATTCCTACCACTCCACTGAAACAGCTCTGACACATTAAATGGGTCACTTCTCAATCCTCACTTCATTTGATCTTTCAGTAAAATTGGCCTCAGCTATTTCCTCCTGCTTGATGCACTCTCTGATAGACTTCCAGAGCTTTCCTTTGGCCTTCCTCCTTCCTTAGTTTTTGTTCACTTCTCAGGTTCCTTTTCTGGTCTCTCCTTTGAACTATTCCAAACATATAGCTCAGTTCTCCCTCCCTCCCCCTCCCCCCATCATTTCCATTAAAAATTTCCCTTAAAGGGAGATCTCATCTAGGTTTATGGTTTGACACATATTAACTGACAACTCTCATATTTATAGCTGTAACCTATACCTCTCTTCTGAACTCTAGGCTTATATGCCTCTCCACCTCCACTTGGGTGTTTAATAGGCACTCAATATATCCAAACTGAACTCCTGATTTTCTTCCCCATCCCCACCCCAAACCAGCTCCACAGTTTTCTCCCTCTTAGCTGAAGGCAGCTCTGTCCTGGTTGCCCAGGTTAAAGACCTTTGGAGTCATCCCTGATTCCTGTCTTTAATGTTCCACATCAATCCTTCAAGAAATCCTATTGGTTCTACCTTCAAAATATGTCTATCTCTTACGACCCCCACTGCTAACACCAAAGTGCTGTCCTCTCACGGGGATTGCTGAAATGCCCTTATAAATGGCCTCCCATTTCCAAGATTTCCTGTCTCTGGTCCCTTCTTTACTTCAGTCAAAGTGATCTTATCAAAAGGCAAGTCAGATGATGTCAGTCCTCTGCTCAGAACACATCAGTGGTTCCTGCCTTGCTCAGATTCAAAGCTAAATCTGAGT